GGTTGCTGATTACCTAATACTGTTCTAACCTAATTGATATATTATATAATATTATACTATACAAATTCAACAAAAATACAACATATATAATATGCTATATAAAACCAATATATATAACACCTTTTTATATATATAATAAATATATATAAATATTCATATTAATTATATATAATTAAATATCACCTTAAATTAATTAAATACCACATTAAATTCTCATGTAACCACATAGTTAATAAAGCCAAAAATAAAGTAAGATCATAATAATAATAATAATAATAATAATAATAATAATAATAAATAAATAAATAAATAAATAAATAAATAAATAAATAAAGACTTACAAAAGATCAAGGTCGCTACATAACCAGTTCCAAGATGGAATCTCTGGTAAGGATGCCACGAATATATTTCAGAAATCCAAACAATCATTCATTCATATAGAGTATAGCATTTCAGAATACTGATCATATCATATCATTCGAAAAATACTTTAAGGTGAACATAACTTTATAGAGTTATTACTCACAGATAACTCCAGTAGCAGAATAGAAAGAGTAGACAGATCAAATGGTCTATGGTGTGCGACTTACACAAACACATAACAGATACACATTGAAACACACACTCAAAAAATACATAACTTATTTCTTTTCTATCTTGGTGTGTTTCTAATCCTTATCCTCATTATTATGTCTTAATTAGTGCTTAGGAATGCCTAAGATGCAATGAGGATGTCAAAATGTACTTTGAAACATTTAGTCAAATTTTCAAAACCAGGGCAGTTCGCTCGAGCGCAACTTCCTTCATTGGAGCGGACCCTTTGGTCTACAAAACTTCTAAGAGCTCCCATTTTACGCTTGAGTGCAACTTCCTTCGCTTGAACCAAGATTAAAAATTACAGACTGATCACTCGAGTGCAGATTATGTCGCTTGAGCGGAGTGCTCATGTTTGCAAAACTTCTGGGAGCTTCGCTTGAGTGCAACTTTCACCGCTCGAGTGAAGAGTGCGAATTTTGAAATTTTCTGATTGCTCTCTAAGCTCCAAAACTCAATTCTAATGCATCAAAACTCATTCTTTTGGGCCAAAACTTGAGAAAACAGTTGTAAACTTATAAAACATCATGAATTAAATATCATTTCACAAAATCAAGGCCTAAAAGCAAGCTAATGGTTCAAAATCAAACTTGAATTGTATGTGTATATAACATGCATGCAATGTTATAAACTCAAACCTTCCAAAAGATGATCAAATGAGATATTCAGCTCAAAAACATGTTGAATTCTCAAAACCAAGTTAGAACTATTACATGCATGGGGAAATTTCTTGGAAAACATCCTTAAAAGGTATGAAATGCACATGCATGCATGAATTGGTTTCCAATTCCATTCTTTAGCTCAATGCTCATGCTAATTCACCTATTTCACTTGATTTCAAAGGATTTAATTCCTATCTTAATTCTTGAATTAGCAAGTGTTGAAGCTATATTCCTCAATTCCTTCAATGTTCCTCACAATACTCTATAAGTTCTAGCAATTCTTTCCTTTTTCTCTTCTTGATCTTAATCTCTCCATTTCTTTCTTCCTCTCACATTTTGCTTGTCTCAAAGAGATGAGAATGCAGTGTAGTGTAATCTAGAAGCCACTTAAGTCTTATATAGGCTTGGTTTCATGTTGGTTAATCAAGCTTAGATAAGTTAGATTAATTCTAATAAACCTAACCTATATCTAATTAAATGTAATCATTTTATTCTAATTATTTGGTTCCGAATCGAATTCAAATTAAACTTATCATAAAATTCTAAAAATCCCAAATAGCACGTAACCCTAGGCAATTTCGTGTTCAAATGCCGATAAGGCCTTCAATTCGCATATTGAAACAGATATTCCTACAATGAACAGATATGACCACAATTAACACATAATACATGTAATTAACTCAGAATTTCCTCTTAATTACTCGTTAGGAATTCTTAATCATGGTTTATTAGCTAGTCATAGTTCAGGGTGGTTACACACAAATAATGCATATCCTAAGGATTCAGGTGTCGATGTCAATTTGGAACTGGATCCTCTGCCCAATTCTCTTCAAGATTGTTTCTTTTAACTTTGGATAATACTTCGTAGCATTTCAATCTTAACTAGATAATAACATAAATTATTTGGTTCGTATTAATGGGTAGACCAGTGCTTAACTTATTAAACATCTTTATTTGACTCCCGTGAGTAATAATTATCGGTCGTAAATGATTGACTCTATTATCTCCGCTTATTAACTTTGGCAATTATTCGTAATTATTGGTTATCTGGTTATATCAATTATTATATTAATAATTTATAAATCATATCCATGACATAACTTACAACTAAGGTTTTTTCGGGTGCACTATGAGCTCCATTATTAATCACATTATTGATCCAATTTTTGGATAATTTGATCAGCAGCGACAAAATCATCCCCTCCATATTTCTTTGCTTTTGGCAAAGTAGTGATTGAAGGGGGACAAAAATAAAAAAACTTTACAAAAGCGGATCCCAATTTATGTATAAATATTCAAAAAAATGTACAAACACACAAAACTAAAATATAAATAAATTGACTAAAAAATTGTAGCATTTAGGTACCAATCACCCCATATCCTACTTTTTAATTGTGCGTGTGCACTATGCTCCAATGATTTTTTTTTTTTTAAAAAAAAGCCATTGCTCTGATACTACTTTTGTCACGAACTAAACCTAGTAAGTGTCACAATAAGACAAAAACTGAAGTCATAGCAAATTAATAGTGTAGCAGAGTAAAATAAAAGGGTACTCAAATATTTATTTAAGTAAAATATACATTGGAGTTTTATTTATTGACATTGTTAGAGCTAGACTATTTTTACAAAGTGTCTTGTGTCTACTCCTCACACTGGTCTTGCCACTTCACTTGAAAGAGTTTAACAGCTATAAGCACATGACAAAGTCATGAATATTATACTAAGAGTATGAAGGCATACAAATTACCATGAATAATTATTTAGGCTAAACAATGAATAGTTTGGTTTGAATAAATCATTTTAAGTGATAGAATCAAACTGCAGAAATCATATAAGTAAAATAATCATAACCACGGTATAGAACAGAATAGAGGGTCAATGGATTCATGACAAACAGAGAGTCACAAAGTGACTAATCAGAGGGCCAGTGGTTGTTTAAGTCCCCCAAGGCATGAGACCGATAGAGACTCACTAAAATGACAATTTAGAGGGCAAGTGGTTATTTAAGTCCCTAAGGCATGAGACCTCCATGGTAGTACTTATAAAATAATTGCTCAAAAATACATTTAATAAACAGTTATATCCATAAATTTCCATTTTAAATAATAGGGCTCATAAAATAAATAACATAGTTGAAATTTTAATATAACTTATAAAACATGATTTGCATAAAATAATTCACAAAATAATAAAATAATTTATATTTATTCAAGATATACTATAACTCACTTTAACATTGATTCCGATTTTTTACTTTCTATTAACCGCGACCCATTAAATACTGTCAAACTAAACTCAAAGTTTTATAAAAACAATTGGAGCGAAGAACAGAGAGAGAAGAATAGAGTTTGGGAAAAGATGCTGATGGACAAAAAGATTAACATCTATATATATATATACTAGTGGTAAACCCGTGCTATGCACGGGATTGGTTTAATAATGTGTAAATTTTTTAATAACGCATTAATTTCTAAATTTACTCATAAAATTATAATCATAATGCATAGAGATCATCTTTTCAAATTTCTTAAGTGAAGACAATATTTCAAAGCAAATATTCATAAAATATTTAAATCATCCAATTGAGTTGTTTTTCTTAAAACAATAAACTTGATTTCTAACTAATGAAATAATATATATTAACAATAAATAAGATGTTTCTCAATAAACTTAATGTCTAAAACATATATATGCTAAAAAAACTAATAATAAACTAAATGTCATAAATTAAATCTATCTATATTTGATAAATTAAAACTCAATAGATGTCGGTCATCATGTCCAAATGTTCCAAAAAGTACCTGTAAAATAAAAAAGTGTTAACATTTTTTTGTTATCATTTTTTACATACAAACAAACTTAAAAAAAAAAAATATAGATATATTACCTTATGAGGAGTGATGATTTAATTGTCCTCATTTTTGGGTTGTTGCTTCACTTCATTCTCTTCAACACAATTATTTTGTTGTTGCTGCTGCTGCTGTTCTTCCACTTTAATATTTTCATTACCAATGCGTTGCTCCACTTCATCCAATGCTTGTAAACAATCATATCATTTTCAATTTCCTCCAACATAACTATCAATGCTCTCATGTCTGGAAAGTCCTTTTTAATTTTTTTATGAATTTCTTGAATAGGCCATGAGGTTGGAAGTGTGTTAACTATAGCATGAACTAATATTGCAATGTGGGTAGTGGGAGAGTGGGAGTGAAACTCTTTGAGATTTGTTTGGATAGGTTTTGTATTTTTTTTGTTGACAGTTTTTTATGGATAGGAGTTGTGGGTAGTAGGAGAGTGGGAGTGAAACTCTTTGAGATTTGTTTGGATAGGTTTTGTATTTTTTTTGTTGACAGTTTTTTATGGATAGGAGTTGTGGGTAGTAGGAGAGTGGGAGTGAAACTCTTTGAGGGAGCTTTTGTTGTTAAGAAAGTCTTTGAGAGGGAGTGAAAAGAGCTATCAACTTAAAAGAGAGGTGCCACGTATTTTATAGATTTATGAGAAATGTCAGTAAGTACCGTTATTTGTTGTAAGTACATAAAAAAATTTAAAAATCTATTATACAACATGGATCTACTCAGGAGCTAATGTAACTATTTGTAAAGAAATTATAACACAATAGTTTTGTAGTAAGCAAAGATAATGCAATGTATGAAATTACTTATTTTAAACAATCAATATATGAAGAGAAATAATAAAACAATTGTTTCTAGGAAAATGAAACACATTTGAAACTCTTGAACAAAATTATTGATCAATGCCACTAAAAACTTCTATGTAAACTACATTTTTGGTGACATCATCCGGTATGCCTTGTTTATTAATAATCAACACCTTTAAGCCTGATGGGGAGGTGACACGTGATAGAGCTACATACAGCTGGCCATGAGAGAAGACTGGATTCGGAAGATAAAGGCCCACATTCTTCAAAGTTTGCCCTTGACTCTTATTTATTGTCATAGCGAATGCCAACTTTATTGGAAATTGCCTTCTTTTCATTGTAAAAGGAGCATGATTTTTGGAAGGTGTTAAAACAATACGTGAAAGTAGTACTTTCTCACCAACTCTAGACCCTGTAATAACTCTAGCTTCAATTACTCGATTTCCCATCTTATCAACAATTAATCGAGTGCCATTGCATAATCCCAAAGATTGGTTGACATTTCTTAGAAGCATTATTGGTGTTCCAACTTTCAACTGCAAACAATGATTTGGAAGTCCTGGTAAATTCAAAGAATGCAAAAGTTCAGGAGGGTTCATGTCTTGAACATTGCTCTCACTTTCTGTTGGACACAATTTATCAGCACTGTTAAAAGTTTTCATCTCTCCAGGAAGCATCGAAAGCATAATAGAATTGATTTCATCAACATCACTATTTTTAGGAGCTAAAATGCCTCGTTCTTTTAAGTACGACATATCCTGATATTTATTTATGAAATCAGGATAGGTGGCATCGATTAACTGGTGCAAATCTCTTTCTCCATTTTTTATAACAAATTTTTCTGGTATCTGTATCCAATTAGGTTCATAGCCTTCACTAAATGAGCTTCCCATTATTTTCCCTTCACCAACCAATTTAATCCACTCTGCAAAGTCACGTAATTCATGACGCGTATGATTAGAAATATCTTGTGCTGTAACATGCATATTTCTGGTAAGATGCAAAACTTGACAATGCTCCCAAATTGTTGACTTAGGTAATGAAGCTTCCACTGTTTGTTCACGCCCACCTCTAGGTACGACAGGCAATATTTGTCTAAAGTCACCACCAAGCACAAATAGTTTTCCACCAAAAACCCTATCCCCTGAACAATGTTCTGTATTTTTCAATATGTCCCTAAATGTACTATCAACAGCTTCAAAAGCATGACGACTAACCATTGGTGCTTCATCCCATATAATTAACGACGCCTCTTGAATTAACCTTGCCAAATCTGTCCCTTGATTTATTGAACAACATGATGAGTTATCAGGGTCAAGTGGAATCTTGAAACGGGAATGGGCAGTTCGTCCCCCGGGTAAGAGCAAAGTTGCAATACCTGATGATGCAATAGAAAGAATAATCTTCTTATCGGATCGAAATTTTGCAATTAAAGTGCTCCATAAATATGTCTTTCCAGTTCCTCCACTGCCATACACAAAAAATAAGCCCCCATGATGAGTGGAATAAGCTTCCATTATGGTGTTAAACACTTTCAATTGGTCATCATTCAATCCCACATATAAAGATTCAAAAGATTGCATTTCTGAAATGCTATCGTAGTTCAATTCCTCCCTTATGAGCCTATTAGTAACCATTTGACCTGATCGATATGATGGTAGTGGCATCGGAGGAAACTCTTTAAGAGACCTTCCATTCTGATTTAGTATGTGCTCAATTTCAAGCAATCCTAAATTTTTCAATTCACATTCTTCGAGACTTATATTGCCATCCCCAATTTGCCTTTGTACCCTATTTTGTAAATCATCAATAAGGTCAAACCAATGATTCTCCCACAATTCATATGCATTTGTAACCTCAGAAAACATTAGCATTGAGCAAAACATATTTCGCAGCTGAGCACCTGATGCCCATGTTGAGGCTTCTGTTAAAGCTGCGTCCCATTCATTATCATCGTCAAGTAAGCCAAGTGCAAGGCATCGCAAACCGAGACAAGGCACAGAAAAGGGTTCGGAAGCCCGGAGGCAGGGCTCGCAGCCGCGACTCTGAGACTTCTGAACAAGCACATTATGCAACATCACCAAGCGCTCAATCGGTGACGTCTGAGTCTTAAGGTCGGTCAAAAATGGGGTGTCTACAGTAAATAATATCATTCACCAAAATTAGGATGTGCATAATACAATCTACCTATGCATATTTGTTGTTGCCTCATTTTCCACTTCTTCTGTTTCTGGTTCCAAACCCATGAGCTAGGAAACTCTTCATATGTTAATGTACTCGCCTCTACATGATCTCTGTTTGCTTGAAACCACATTGTAAACATTGTCTCGTAAACCCCTGACTGATTAATAATTGACGGAATGTTATCTGTGTCTCTAAATAGAATAGATTGTTCCCCAGGTAGATGGTACTGCAACCGTTCAACTGAAGGGTATTGCTTTTGCAATTCAAACTCAAATATACGCCAGTACCATTCAATTGCGGAGATATATCGACAATCTAAGTATTGTTTTACCTCATCAGCCTCTCTATACAGACTTTGTCCATCAGTGTTAAGTCGATTAACATTATCTTCAATTACAACCGTTGCACGATCAGGACCTTTATGTATGTATTTATATAAGTACTTGATCAATTTACTGTGTGCACAACGCTCAATATTGATATGGGCATCATACAATACAATAAGATCACGGTTGTATGGAATAACCCATATGTTGTCAATTTCAAATCCATTAACCATGTATTTTTTCTTTGTATCCGTTCGCCTATAGATAGCAAATCCATTTTCATCAATACTCGTTTCACTGCAAAAATTCTTCGGATAATGTTTTGAACATTTTCCATTCACTATACATGGGGCATTAGGATTAGCACTGCCACAGGGACCATGTATCATGCACCTCATCACTGTTTGAAATGCTAATGGATCTTCATCCTTATCAGGAATTTCAGCACAAATTATATCATCAATTTCCTCTGGCGATTTTATCTTGTCATCTGCTAATAATGTCAAGATAATGTGCGAATGCGGTAACCCTCGCTTTTGAAATTCGATGACGTGAATATCTATTCAAGAAAAAATAATATTATTTGTTAACTTTAAACTAAATTTAACAAATCTAATTGACCAGTTCAAATAAAAACAAACCTGCAATTATTTTGCCAAAGAATTTTCGGTTCTTGAAATATGCCATCAGTTGTTTCAATTTAATTCGAAAAACTCTCGCAAGTATATCCGGTATATCCTCTGTACGTCGATTTGGAATGCGCGCTACCTCCTGTTGAACTTCTAACCAATTTGGGTTACATGTGAATGTGACAAAAAGGTCAGGAAATCCCATCTTTCGACATATTGCGATCGCATCTTGGTAATGCTGAACCATATTTCGTGGGCCGCCTATAAAAGATGATGGCAGTCTAAATCTCCTACCAATGGCTGATGCATCACTATCACCCGCTGTCACAGCATCTTCTAAACCTCTGTACAAATTAGTCCGCAACACATTCTGTTTATGCCTAATGAAGTTTAGTCTATCTTGCTCAATAGCTGCATAACAATCAACAACAAATTGTTGGAACAACGTCCCCCTTACAATAGCGTTTTCCCTTCTCCAACTCGAAATTGAAGTCTAAATGCATAAAACTCTCTCATTGACACTCCTTCTCGTTTGTTGTTTGTACCCAGAGTAAAACTTATAGACCTTCTCCATCCATCAGTCCCATAGGGAAAAAGTAATGGATATTGAAGTGGCATGTATGAAGGATGTGTTTCATTAATCCTTTGTAAATGTCCATCTAATTTTCTAACAATTATGTCACGATTTGTAGTGCTTTCAGACCCATCACCAACAATTAATGCAACAATTTCAGTTGTAGTGGGTCTGGTGTACTGTCTTCTATCCCTCGAACTCAAAATGCGAATATGCAATTCTTGAGCACCATTCTCACGAATCATGTCTCGAGCAGTGCGAAAAATTGAAACATATGGATTGATGACATTCAACATTGACTGTAAACCTTCTAATGTGGACGTATCAATTCCCGATGTGCCACCACACCTATTCATAGCATCCATTCTATTGCGAATTTCATGCTCAGTGTCATAAATATAGAGTTGTGCAAATTTAGGCCTTGTTCCAGGTTCCGGTAGTAGAGAACCAATTTTATGAAAATTTGCTCCATTAATACGAAAAACATAGGGACCCCTTCCATCTAACACTGACTGATCAATTTTCCCACCTATGGACGTGAAGGATAATAGGGAGTTATATGTCCTTATGTGTTCCCTGAATCTCACATGAGTAAACTGTTGTAAAAATTCAGGAGTTTCTGGCAATAAAGGCAACATCACTTGTCCACTTTGACAACGCAGACTAAATTTTGGTTGACTCAATGGACGATCTCTTACTTTTTCCTCCATCCACATCATTGCTTGATATCTAGCGCATGTTACTGTTCTCCCACCAAAGTTTGAGCGGTCTGAAATTTTTTTATTGAAGTATTCAATTTTGTTTTAAAATTAAATCCTAAGGTTTTTTTTATATTTTTATCTAATTTATTTATATTTTAAAACTAATTTATATTTAATTTAATATTTAACGTGAAGTTTTTTTATTACAAATATTTATATTTAATTTAAAATTTATATAATGCTAAATAAAAATAAATACACTACATAATTAATCTATCTATTTCTTTCTTAATTATACCATGATATTCTTATATTTAATCTTTTAAAATAAATTATGTATAAATTCTATTTCTACATATTTTTATTTCCCAAATGAATAAAAAAATGAGTTATTTTATTATGTTATAATTTAATATCGTATAAAATTATTATATATATTTATTTAAATCACATTTCATAGCATAATAGGACTAAGATTATCAAAATACACATAAATAATGTAACTAAAATTGTTATATATATTTATTTAAGTAGCACTTTTTATAAAATCATGGGACCTAAGATTATCAAAATAAATAATTAGAATAACTCTTTAATTTTAAATTACTATTTATTCCTCTAACTTAATCATTATTTCTAATATTAAAGTGAGTATTTATTTTACTATGTTATAATTTAATACAAAAATATCATATATATATATATATATATATATTTAAAATACACATTTATAGTTCAACAGTATGAAATATGAAAAGAAATATAATTTGATATTAAAGATGTATACTATACGTTATAAATATGAAAAGTTTGAATATAGATCAATGAAAATCATGTTTTGAAAAAGAACACATGGTTGTAATAGGTAAGACATTCACATCTATGACAAAAGACATTGGTTGGATCCTAGGCGCGATCTATGATCCTATTTTACCTTATTGATTATGTTTTGTTTTATAACATGATGTTGATTCATGTTCTTTTATGAACTATGAAAAACAAGAATCGAAGATTCATCATGTGAGAAGTAAAAATTTCAAAATTTCAAATCACTAAGTTGATCATGCTATTAGTTTATAGTATAGATAATGACTTAAGGATGTGTAAAATATGACTTTCTTATAAAAAACATGATGATCTATAATTGTTTGTAGTTAATTTTGCACATTGAAATGGTTAACTCCTACATGATGACATTTACTGTAGAATCCATATAAATAGAATGTATCAAAGATCTAAAATCATGCAAGTTATATATTTATTATATATATCTATATATGTATATGATAGTCAGTAATTGTTTCTAGTCATATTAAAATATACTAAAAAAACCCACAAACATGGTAGTCTATAATTGTTTATAGTTAATTTTGCACATCAAAATCATCAACTCCTACATGATAACATTTGATATGAAATTCATAAAAATAATATGTAATCAAAGATCTAAAAATTTGTAATTCAACTTCAAACCTGGAAATATCAAATGGTTAACCAATTGTTGCTGATTTATCTGGAATTTACCTTAAGTTTGCTTGCCTTATTCTTCAATAGAATTCAAACTGGAATACAAAAGATAAAGAATAGAAAATCTCAGTAAGTACCGTTATTTGTTGTAAGTACATAAAAAAATTTAAAAATCTATTATACAACATGGATCTACTCAGGAGCTAATGTAACTATTTGTAAAGAAATTATAACACAATAGTTTTGTAGTAAGCAAAGATAATGTAATCAAATTATTGTTATACATGGGGAAAAAAACACAAAGGAAAAAAAAGATTTATTTTGATTTATTGTTAGATTTTTTTTGAAGATTTTGAAAATTACAAAATAAACACAAAGCGATGTCTTTTTGTGGATGTGTATTTTTTTTATTAATTTATTTAATTGAGATTGGGATTTATTTAATTGATTTAAGTTATAGATATTACTAAATTTTATGTGATAGACATCTGATTCAGTGAATTGTGAGTGTTGGATATGCATGAGTATATTGTAAGAATAAAAATTATGGGTTTCTTCTTTTTTTTTTTTAAAAAAAAAAATAACGTGATAGACATTGAATATTTTTAGTTTGTATATATGTTTTTAATTTATTTAAGTTACAGATATTTGAGCTCTTTTTTTTAAATAACGTGATAAACATTGAAAAAAATAGTTCATAAAGACAAAATAGATTGTGAGTGTTGGATATGCATGAGTATATTGTAGGAATAAAAATTATGTGTTTCTTTTTCTTTTCTTTTTTTAAAAAATAACGTGATAGACATTGAATATTTTTAGTTTGTATATATGTTTTTAATTTATTTAAGTTACAAATATTTGAGCTCTTTTTTTTAAATAACGTGATAAACATTGAAAAAAATAGTTCATAAAGACAAAATAGATTGTGAGTGTTGGATATGCATGAGTATATTGTAGGAATAAAAATTATGGGTTTCTTTTTCTTTTTTTTAAAAAAAAATAACGTGATAGACATTGAATATTTTTAGTTTGTATATATGTTTTTAATTTATTTAAGTTACAGATATTTGAGCTCTTTTTTTTAAATAACATGATAAACATTGAAAAAAATAGTTCATAAAGACAAAATAGATTGTGAGTGTTGGATATGCATGAGTATATTGTAGGAATAAAAATTATGGGTTTCTTTTTCTTTGTTTTTTAAAAAAAATAACGTGATAGACATTGAATATTTTTAGTTTGTATATATGTTTTTAATTTATTCAAGTTACAGATATTTGAGCTCTTTTTTTTTAAATAACGTGATAAACATTGAAAAAAATAGTTCATAAAGACAAAATAGATTGTGAGTGTTGGATATGCTTGAGTATATTGTAGGAATAAAAATTATGGGTTTCTTTTTCTTTGTTTTTTTAAAAAAATAACGTGATAGACATTGAATATTTTTAGTTTGTATATATGTTTTTAATTTATTTAAGTTACAGATATTTGAGCTCTTTTTTTTAAATAACGTGATAAACATTGAAAAAAATAGTTCATAAAGACAAAATAGATTAAAATAATTAATAAAGATTTTTTTTACATCTAATTCATAATCTTTTTTTTTTCTCCCTCATAACTCAAATCAACTATAAAAATTAAAAAAATTAAAAATTCAACTATCATTTCAAACATAAATTTTTTAAATAACGTGATAAACATTGAAAAAAATAGTTCATAAAGACAAAATAGATTGTGAGTGTTGGATATGCATGAGTATATTGTATAAAGACAAAATAGATTGTGAGTGTTGGATATGCATGAGTATATTGTAGGAATAAAAATTATGAGTTTCTTTTTTCTTTTTTTTTTAAAATAACGTGATAGACATTGAATATTTTTAGTTTGTATATATGTTTTTAATTTATTTAAGTTACAGATATTTGAGCTCTTTTTTTTAAATAACGTGATAAACATTGAAAAAAATAGTTCATAAAGACAAAATAGATTAAAATAATTAATAAAGATTTTTTTTACATCTAATTCATAATCTTTTTTTTTTCTCCCTCATAACTCAAATCAACTATAAAAATTTAAAAAATTAAAAATTCAACTATCATTTCAAACATAAATTTTTTAATCAAATTAAAATAATTAAAAAATTAACTAAAATAATTTATTTTCAAAAAAAATACTGGGTGTTTTTTGACTTTTTAATATTAGGCAGAAAATTTAGAGGGTGTGGTTTTGGTAAAAGCATCCAGTTTTCCTTGCAATTTTCTCAATAAATATATATATATATATATATATATATCTATACTATATATCCTTGTGAACTGTATATAAGAAAAAAAAGTAACAAATTTGTTTGGATAGTTTTTTTTTTTATTTTTTTCGTTGACAACTTGATTTGTTTGAGGTGGGAGGGTAAACAGATTTGTTTACAAAATCTCAAATGCTTGAAGAAAAAAATAAATTATTAAAACAAAAGAAAAAGAGAAATCAAGACTTGCCTTCAATGGCGGACTGTTGGGTTCACTGCTCATGAATGAAGTTGATGAAATAATGGTTTAAAAAATAGTGAATGAATAGAAGCTACAACTATACAATATTCACCAATAACGAAAAGTACATAATTATATTGACATGCAAAAGAATCAAAAATTTAAAATAAACCATTGTTACCTTTTACAATGGACGAAGAAACTCTCTGTGACTAAAAGAATCTGTCACTATCCTACGTAATTCACACCTATCCTGAAACATAAAGGCTTTATGAAAATCAAAACAACAAAAACAAAGAAAAATAAGACAGAAAGAAAGATATACAAACTATTAAATTTAAAATGGTGGGAATAAGTATACAAAAAAATTCAAAAAAAAATACTATTTTTATTTATAAAAATACGAGATTTTACAACAAATGTTCTCCTCAAAATTCTCAATTTCTAATACTCCAAAATTTAATAACAACTAATTCCTTATATCACATGTTTCCAAAATTTAATATTAACGTGGTATTAAATTAATTGAATATTTAAAGTGTCACACTAATAATATTGTACACATAATATTATTGTGATTGTTTTATTTTTATGTGGATGGAAAATGTTACAATGTGTAAGCCTATGGATGGTAATGAGTAGAATATTGGTCGGGGTTCCCCTACCTACCCTTATCTCCACTTCTACCTCCATTTTTGTTCCCATCCCAAACCCACAAATGTAACACTTACTCCGACCCTACTCCATCCACAACACAATGAGAAATTTGATAATAATATTGCAACTTAATAACTAAAACTAAGAAATAATATTTACAATTTTATATATATATATATATATAATATTATATTATATAGTATATAACATAATTGAAATACATTATATAAATATTATATATTTTATAAAAACTCAACAATACATTATGCATATATTGGCATTGTTTGAGAAGATGGTTATGTTAAAATAACCCACTAAAAGATAAAATAAGTTAAAAAGCGAATAAAATAAAATGTTACATTCAACTCATTATGTAACGTCCCGGTGTCCCACATCGGGAATGGAAGG